AAAAGCAGGAAATTAGATTTCTGGGGGGGCCTGTTATATACATAGATTCTCTATTGTTTTCTTGGTTACTTTTTGTTTGATTTTTTTGCAGATTTAAAGGAGTTTAATTTTATAACATCAGCATTGTAATAGTAATACAAACAATAGTTATATTTGACAATCCAATAGAAACTTATTTTGCAAAAAATATTCTTTCATGTTGAGTGCTGCCTGCCTGTCTGCTGGTCGCCTCTTTCCACAAATTCCCATGGTACATTGCTTGTCTGCAAGTTGTGATTCCTGTACTGACTCTGCGTCCTGGTCAATGGTCATCCAGTGCCCAGGGCAAACACGGGAAACTGCGCTATCTTTTGAAGTTGAAATGAGGGACATCTCAGGGAAACAGCGACCTGTGGTGTGTGTGAAGAGTGGGTGTGCTTAAATTATGATGGCTGGGAGGGGACAAACTGGCACCCCTGGGTGCCTCAACTGGGTGCCTCAACTGCTGCATCCTTTAGCTGCAGAGGGAGTGCCTGGGAATGTACACATGCTGCGGCTGGGATGTTTTGCGTCACAGCTGCAGCATGAATTATACCCCTTATCAAACTTGACCCATTCTACTGAATGGCCAAGTGTGAATATGCACTAATTGTTATTTTTTAATTTTTTTAATATAGCTTTAGAATGTAATTTTTTTTTTTTTTTAACAGCCCTTTAGGGGCTTTGCTGAAATAACAGGACTCTAAACAAACCCCTGATGTCTCACTTTTGAGACAGAGACACCATGTGGCACCATGTGTGTTGATGCATGTGAAAAGGCACGTGTTAGCAGATGCGGGGGGGGGGGGGGGTGCCATTAACAGTTAATTGCAGTGCCGTACATCTACTAATGGACAGTGTGGTTTTAGGGGGATCAGGAAAGTCACAATTCTTTGCACATTTCTGAGATACAGAGGTGTGTACCTAGCCTTATAGAGGGCTCACACTGGTGTGCTGCAGTGTGATTCTGTGTGCGCTCCCATTAAATTCTATCACACAGTGTGTTTTGTGAAAGCGCATCAAAGATGCAGCATGTAGGACTTTGATGTGCTTTCATGAAAATGCACTGTGTAACAGGATTCATTGGGAGCGCTTCTAAAACCGCACATACAATTACACTGTGGCCACACCGCAGTGCATTGTTATTAGGGATAAGAAGGAGTGAATAGGTGGGGGTCTGGGTAGTAAGAGTATGTTTTATGAAGTATAGAGTGATGGGGAAGCACAGTGGCTAAATGATTAGCACTTCTGCCTGGCAGTATTAGGGTCATTGGTTTGAGTCCCAACCAACGCACCACCTGTCTGGAATTTACATGTTCTCCCTGTGCCTGCGTGGGTTTCCTCTGGGTACTCCAGTTTCCTCCCACACTCCAAAGACATGCTGTTAGTGATTTGGCTCCTCTCTAAATTGGCCCTAGTATGTGTATGTATGAATGTAAATTAGGGCCATTAGATTGTACGCCCCTTGAGGGTTAGGGACTGATGTGAATGTACAATATATATGTATAGTGCTGTGTAAATTGATGGCGCTATATAAGTACCTGGAATAAATAAATAAATAAGGAATGCAATAAACTTTCCATCCCTGTCTACTAACTGTCCTGGGGAATGATCTGAGGTTAAAAGACAAAGATAAGTAGGGGTCTGTCAGAAGTCTTCTAACTAACTTGAATACCAAACCTTCATACAACAGAATAGGCTCCATGCTTCTACTCCTTAAAGATGTGTGACTGCTCCACCTTCTCATAGACAGTAAAGATTAAGAGGATGACAAGAGGCATCTGCTTACACAGCGTTAGCAGCTAATCTCCAGGCCCTACGAAAACTCTTGAACAGAGACAGGAGCAAGAGAATGACAAAGCTCTCCATTCCCACTCTGTAGAGCTTCACCTCCCTAAAGAATCATCTGATTTTTGGATCTACCATAGTATGATACAACATAGGGGCTGCTTCAATCAATACATTAGCTAATTTAGAGAAGCTGGGCTCACATGTCAAATTGACAGACTGTTCACACCTCTGAAAGAAGCTTAGAACCTGATAAGAGGAGAATCATCTGAGGAAATACTCTAGAAAGTTAAGGTGACATGAGTTCACCCACTGGATCCATTCTTAGTACCAGCGCAGAAGAAAGCCAGTCAGGTAAGCCACAGTTAATGATATTCCATCCATTTTTTCTGCAAAGAATTTGTTTTCATAAAAGATGTATAAAATATAATAATATATATATATATATATATATATATATATATATACACACACCTTTATAGCTAACCATATATTTTAACTGATTTAGAAACCACATATGCTATCTTAATGGTTGGCAAACTATATGATAGAGTAGGGACTGGGAAGAGAGGGATCACTTTGATGCAGTTAGCCAGGTTGAAAATGTATTACAATATATGCGAACTAAGAAGCCCCCATGTTATAAGCAAGAGTTTTCTATGTAAGGGATTAATATGTGGTCACGTCTTTAGTATTTCATGTGTTGTATATAAGGAAGCTATTTAGTACCTTAATACTCATATCTCCATTTCTACTGCATGGTGCAGGTTGGTAATTAAAAAGGGCAGGGATGGCTGAAGTTGCTGTAGTTATGCTTGCTTTTCTGCACTCTGCTGCTCCGCCCTTTATATGATGATTTTCTTCATTATATTATTTTTATATAACATGGTTTGTATTATATTATTGATTTTTTCTTTTTTTGGGAGGGAACACATCTGGTTTCACACTTAGATAACTATTTTTATCTGCTGGAGCTGTCCACCCTTCTAATATATATATATTTTATATACATGGACATTATTATCCACCTCCTTTGCACATTAATTAAAACAGAAATCACAATGTCTCAATTTGTTTAATCTAGTCTAATTTAAAGACCTGAGTAGAAACGGGCATTATCTGGGCATTATCATCTGAGTTGCAATTATGAAAAAGCAATAAAACTGATACACCTGTACATGTTTTTCAAAGCACCTTATTTTTGGCTGTGCAACTCCAGATATATAGGCACATCTAGCATTTATTTTACCTATACTGACAAAATGTTATTGTGTGCCTCTTTTATTGCATGAAGTAAAAACAAGTGTCCCATAATTTTAATGAACAACAGTTTGAAATGCGTATATCTCTATAAAATGCAATAGTGACTTTTTCATATAAAAATGCATTGAGAGAAATAAGTTATTTATAGCATCAAACTGATTATGTTTCAAGCAAAGTGACAAACATTTAAACCATATTAATTATTTGAAGTTGTATAAAGGTGTCAGTTTACTAGCAGAGAAAGTACGAATTTGAAAAATCAAATGCACCTAAAATTGCCCATGGGTTTTTTTTAATTAAGTGTTTGACATAAAGAATTTACCCTGTGGTTGAGAGTAATTAGGCCAATCCAAACCCACATAGAAAAATCATATTTTAGTAATAGGAACTTAAATATGATTGGTGGATGTGTGGCAGCACTTTAGTAAGCAAGACCTGGGGGGATGTAATCTTTGCTATGTTGGAATATTTTGGTTGTATCTCTAGATAATATCTATATACATCTAAACAGATTTATGGTGACCATACAGAGAAAATAATTGTGAAGAATGGTACCTGACTCTTTGCTTTTCCTTCCAGTTCCTAGTCCTGCCTCAGGTCCAGCCCCTAGCCCGGCTCTGCTGTGCAGAGTATGTGGTGACAGCAGCAGCGGAAAGCACTACGGCATCTTTGCTTGCAACGGTTGCAGTGGTTTCTTCAAAAGGAGTGTGCGTCGAAAGCTTATCTATCGGTAAGGTCATTTTTAGAACTTCAAATTCTGTTTCAATTCCTTATATTCTTGATCATCTTGGTGTTACCATGTAACAATTGTATCAATAAATACTATTTGAGATTGTACGTAACCTATTCAGCAATCTATTTTAAGAAAAAAGAACCAAAACTTGAAATATTTGCTGATAAATACACCCTAAAATGAACGCGTGCTCCGATAAATGATGGAGATTGTTATAATTAACTCACTAAGAATTAGGTCTAAACTAATTTAGGACATACACATGTTGTGTAAAGAAATTTTCATCTCTCTCAAAACAAAAAAGTTTGCATACAGTGATTTGTATTTTCAACTCTAATAAAATGTATGTTTAAATTCTAATTCTGAGCACAAAACATTGGAGTCCCTTTATTAGTATGGGGGAGAATATTCTACAGACGTATCAGCACAATATTATGCATATCCTGGATTAAAGGGAAAACAAATGGTTTTGGGAAATAAAAAAATTACATCTTTTATTTATATTAATATTTATTAACATAAATATTTATTTAAACATGATATATTTGTTTAAAGTTTCCCTACTCTGACCTAGTATTTTAGTATTCATAAATTGTTTAATAGGGAAGGATGATTGCTATACCAGAAAGCATTCAGTTTTCATTTGCATTGTAAGCACCCTGTCGCTGGACAGCTTGGTCTGCTAAATGAAGTTGTAAAAAAAAAACAAGTGATGGCAAGATCACCAGGTGAAAATAAAGGAAAAAAAGAAAACTAATACAGCTACAACATGCTTCTTCTTTTTAATCAATAAATAAAGAATACATTTTAAAAACAGACTTTTTGTTTTACTTTGTGTGCATGCTGCAGATGCCAGGCTGGGACAGGGATGTGTCCAGTGGATAAAGCACATAGAAATCAGTGCCAGGCTTGCAGATTAAAAAAATGCCTTCAGACAGGCATGAACAAGGATGGTAAGCTTCTTGCCTGCTTTCTTAGGTAGTTGGCTTATAGCATATGACTGCATTATAAGAACAGTGCTGTATCTATGTGATTTATTCTTTTTTTATCTTCAGCTGTACAGAATGAGCGTCAGCCTCGCAGCACAGCACAGATTCGGCTGGATAGTATTGAGTTAGAGACAGACAGCCGCTCTGAACACTTGGCAACTACCCGAGAGCCTCCTCCTTCCTGTCCACCAGTGAACAACTTACGAACCCCTGTACCCAATATTATATCAGGAGCCCTCAGTCCACCCCATAACCACCGATTCATGGCTAGCTTGATGACAGCAGAGACTTGCGCCAAACTGGAGCCAGAAGAAGGTATGAGTGCTTTATTGTGAATATAGATATATATATACCATTTCAATATTCATCCAAGCATATTAACTTATTCATAAATCCAAAACCACTCTCAATAGTAAGGTCATATAATTTTGTAGCTTCGAGCTGATTGTCTTCCTTTCAGACATACTAGGTATTCAAATTTTAATTCTACCATAATGCCAGGACGAGAAGAAATAAAATGTATTAACTACTGCAAAAGCAGAAAAACATTTTAACTGCTTTTACATAAGGAATTAACTTCTTTTTATTAAATATAACGAAAACAAAGGAGAAGGAATCGACTGCATGCGATCTGATCCCTGCTGCCTTGTATGTGATTGCAGCCTTGTTTCTTGTTCCATAGCCTGGGCAGTAGAGTTTGAGACTAGTGACTGACAGGTGGGGAGAGTAAAAAAAATAATCATTAATAATGTGTGAAACATACCTCTCTGCCCATAACATTCATTTGATATTTTGTTATTGTTTTTATATTTTCCATGCACAATCCATTTAAATAAGGAACTCGAGAGATTTGATTTTTGAATGTTTGCAGTGTTTCTTGTTCCATAGCCTGGGCAGTAGAGTTTGAGACTAGTGACTGACAGGTGGGGAGAGTAAAAAAATAGGCATTAATGTGTGAAACATACATCTCTGCCCATAACATTCATTTGATATTTTGTTATTGTTTTTTATTTTCCATGCACAACCCATTTAAATAAGGAACTCAAGAGATGTGATTTTCTAATGTGTGCAGTGAATATTAAAAACAATTGTGTATTGTAATTAGAAATTACAGCTTTTCTTGTTCATCGATGCTTAATATATAATATAAACTGTTTTTACTTCAGTTCATACTTTAGTAAATCGGGCCCATGAATTAAGCTATTTGATCAAGAGTCTTTCTATAGTCACAGAATTGCTATGCATTCAATGTACAATTACTGATAATTGCCAACTCTTCTACATTGTAAGAAGTGCTGATAACAGTACCTTATTTTTCTTTCAGCTGATGAGAACATAGATGTTACAAGTAATGAGCCAGAACGCACACCTAATGATTTTCAGATGTCTGCCTTTATCACATCCAGTCCAGAAGGGGTGTATGAGACCTCTGCCCGACTCCTCTTCATGGCAGTGAAATGGGCAAAGAACCTGCCAGTCTTCTCCAACCTTCCATTCAGGGACCAGGTGAGAACAGAAACTGCTAATGTATATTTTACAATTGTGCGATGACTTGGAGAGCTTTTGGCTACCCCAAAGAACCGTATAGGATGCTTATTCAGTGCAGGAGTAGAGTATTTAAATTTCACTGTAAAGCCTAATATTCAGGAGAAAGCCAGTTTTGCCAAAGCGCCAATGTTTGGGTATACTTTTATTCAATAAAATGATCATACTTATACTACTAAGCTTTGTGTATCCAGCTAGCTTAAATACTTGATCACCCTTTCTTTTTTTTCTGTTCATCATGTAGGTCATCCTTCTAGAAGAAGCATGGAGTGAACTATTTCTTCTCTGTGCCATCCAGTGGTCTATGCCACTTGACAGCTGCCCCTTGCTGTCCGTTCCAGACTTATCTTCCAGTGTTCATGGAAAAGCTATCTCCTCCAGTGTGGATGTACGAATCCTTCAAGAAACAATCAGTCGTTTTAAATCGCTAAGTGTTGACCCAACAGAATTTGCTTGCTTGAAGGCAGTGCTCCTCTTTAAACCTGGTGGGTATTCTAACAAACACTCAAGTCAAACACTGAAATGCATATTCTTTAGTTAGAATAATCTCTGTTGTGAAATCTTACAACTTGCTGTATTTCAGAGACCAGAGGCCTTAAAGACCCCGAACAAGTAGAAAACCTACAAGATCAGTCTCAGATGATGTTGGCTCAACATACTAGAAATCATTACCCCAACCAGCCAGTCAGGTAACTAAACATCCACCAGCACCTTAAGTTTCTAAATATTTTCTAGCACATTTGCCATGAAAACTGTTATTGATCACATTTATTTACAATATGGTTTAGAATGTCACATATTTAGTAAGCTGCAACAGTTTTTATCCCAATCAGCCAATAAGCTATCTTTAGTACTCCATAAAACATTTCAGCTCTATGAGGGGTAATTGTTTAAATCATGTATGTTATTAGACTGTGCTTTTTGTGTTTTATATATAATTTCATTTTACAAATAAATGATAACGTTTAATGAAAGTGATATTAAAGCCATTTTTTGTTTGTAACTTGAGATGATAGCAGGATTTACATGCTCTTGCTGTGTTTTTTTTCTCTGTTCTTGTTTCTCATACTGTAACCTTACTTTAGGCATGTGTTTGCCCCCTGTGCCTGCTGGGGCCTATAGAGTCTCGCTGGAGTTTTCACTTTGTGTGTGCTCCTGTTTTAAACCACAATCTCAGGTGCAGCACCACACACACAGGCAGGGCAAAAGACACAGAACCTAGCCAAGCCTCTCCTCCACCTTACAGTGGTGACTGATAGTGGCTCTCGAGCTTTGAGCTTGGTTCTTGGTCTCTTGTGCTGCCTGGGTGTGTGGCATTGGCAGCAGCTGCACATATGTTTGTAATTCCAAATGGGGGCACACAAGTGGAAACTCAATTGGGACTGCATAGGTCCTGGAAGGCAAAGGACACACACACATACCTGAAGTCGTGCAGCCGAGCCAAGGGGACAGTGAGGAGAAAGCAAAAAATAGAAAAATTGGAAAAAAAAACAGCCAGGACATGGTAGTCATGCTATCAAAGCATCTAATTTTGCAACAAAAAAAATGGTTTTTCTTATCACTTTAGGGTGGATTCATACACATCGAGCTGCTTCAGTGCTTTACCAATCTCCATTGCTGGCTGTGGTAGGGGGCAGCATGGTGCACAATTCAGCGCATCACATGGCTCCTTTTTTTTTTTTTTTTTTTTTTTGTATGCACTGTATTTGAAGTGTTCAAAACTTACACTTCATTTATGACAATATACAGCAACGTGCTGTGTTGCTGTACATTGCTGTGCGATTCAGCACGGTGTTCTGTGATAAAATGCAGCATGTCATAGGCTATGTTGCAGTGTGAATGGGACACATAGGAAACAATTGTTTCCTTTGTGTCCCTGCAATGACAGACGTTTTACCATGTAGTGAAATGTCTGTCACCGCACATAGTGTGAATTCACCCTTAGTGGGCATTGTGACAAAGGATTCCTCAAGCGCTATAGGATTTCTATCCTATCCTGCTGCCACCTAACAACTGCGCATGTATTTTGTCCATCAGTCCATCCCCCACAGTTATTACCTTTTGTATCTTTTGACCCTCCCTCTTAGATTGTAAGCTCTAACGAGCAGGGCCCTCTGAGTCCTCCTGTATTAATTTGTACTGTCTTCCCTTATGTTGTAAAGCGTTGCGTAAACTGTTGGTGCTATATATAAATCCTGTATATTAATATCTAATAGGATAAACACAACAGTAGTTGTTTTCTTTCATATTTTCAGGGGTTGATTTACTAAAGACAAATAGACTGCTCACTTTGCAAAGGAATTTTCAATTGGCTTAGCGAATTTTTGTGAAAATTAATTTTGCAAATAACTTGCAAGGTATCAATGCAAAACAAACATAACCAAAAAATAACTTAAAATTGACTGGTGTAATGCCAAAATTCAAAACAATCAGGACCCAATAGGTGGATATCTACCTCCATGCAGACTTTGTTCAACACCTCCTCAAACTATGACAGACAAGTAATAGTGCCCCTCAACAGGATCCTCAGCCATTAGCCCCTTCCCTACTCTTTACCTTTCTTATCTTTTCTCTCTGGCTCCCACTCTCCACCTATCACATAAATTGAGGGGATAGTAGGTGTTAGTTACTGCTGTGGCTCATTGACTTGGTGTGTAAATTTCAGCTTAAAGTCCAACTCCAGACTGGTAATGAGGGGTATATAACAACCTAACACTGAAGTGGGTACCATCACACCTATTCATTCATAGTACATTTGGGTGTCAGATAGGGGTAAAGCTTATATGTCCAGGGGAGAAAGTAGGTGTTCTTTATATTCAAAGCCAGTTTATGCGTACTGGTATGTAAAGATCTTGTATGTAAAAACAGAGATTTCTTAAAAATGGATTTTAATGTGCTGATTGTCAAATGTTTGTTCACCTGCATCAAAATAATGCCTCTTGCCAGGCCCCTTCTTAGTTCTGATGCTTGAATTCCTAACACTAGACAACCTCAGGTTGAGAAGTGAAGTAAATCCTGTCTATGTAAAGTTTAAAAGGAGCAGGAAACTCTTTGGGGGGGGGGGGGTGTCTTCATAGAGTTTACTGTAAACATTACTGATTAGAAGATAATATAAATAAATTACCCATTTAATATGCCAGCAAATGTACTAGTAAATCCTTCAAAAATATGGTTGGTGGTCTGAAATTCTGCTGTTCCTACTAACCTTTACCCCTCTTATTGTATTGTTGAAGATGCATCACCACAACATACATAAGGGGTAAATGTAGACATGGTCACTCCTGTCCTCTGACAGCAGGGGTTTCCAAACTTCTCAGTACAAGAGCCACATTTTTTCTTGGAGTTTTTCGTGAACAGCATGATATGATTTAGAACAACAGGGTAAAAAACTTCAGTACTTCATTAAACTAAGCAAATAAGTTCCAAATAGACTTGAGCCCATCAAAGCCCCTTCTATCAGACTCCCTATTAAAGTCTTCCTTATATGACAGTCCCCTCCCCTACATCAGGGTTTCTTTAAGAGCCCTCTCTTACATCAGAATGCCCAGAAAGCATCTTGCAGTGGGCCATAGTTGGAGACCACTATCTTTCAGTATACCTGACAATTCATATATATGAACCTAGTGAACTTACTAAACAAATTTTATCAGCATAATATGCAGAGTTTCTGGACTGATTAGCTTTCAAAAAATTGTAAACAGAGAAAAGGTTATTAGAATATATAGAAATATGAATAAGGTATAACTAAATTTGGGGAGGTATAGGTTTTCATATTTCCAAACTTTAGAAAACTTTTTGACTGAGGTTTTTGTACCTAGGGCAGGGCTATGTTTTGAACTATATTTAGCATTTCAAGGCATTTTTTACTTGTTTGTTATAAAATAACTTGGAGGAATGATGTCTCCAAAGAATTGAAAGGAGATTGCAACACATATTTGTAGCCTGAGAAGCTGTGTGACATTGAGAAGATCACATAGCTGAGATCTTGCTAGATTGGGGACAGATGAGTATAACACTGGTTGAGGGCATGTGGAGTTAAAAAAATAAAATGGTAAATTTGAAAAGAATTAGAGGGTGGGACTTCAAATATACCACTAATGTCCAGGAAAAAAACAAAAGGAACTTGATATATAAAAACAAATTTTATTCACAGTAAAGGTAAAAGAACAAAATATAGATAAAACCCATTTAACAGTCAAAGTCATATTTTAGTGTTGTTATGCGTTCTTTAAACAGGTCTACGCGTTTCACAAATACTTCCGCTTCTTCAGGACCAATATAGATTTATCATAGGAAAAATTGCCACAAAATATGGGATGATACCATGATAGTCCTCACTGAGATTTAACTACACACCTCACGCTGGCACATTTATCTTTATTATATTAAAATATTATCTATTATATTAAAATGTTCAGTTACACTTAAGAGATAAGCTATTAACCTGCAATTTTTTTTTTCTCTTTTGTCAGGTTTGGGAAGCTGCTTCTGTTGTCCCCTTCTCTTCGCTTCATCTCCTCTGAGCGCATAGAGCTTCTGTTTTTCCACCGCACCATTGGCAACACTCCCATGGAGAAACTCCTCTGTGACATGTTTAAGAACTGAACAGGACACTCAGCCAGTGTGGTGGTAGCCCAATATACCCAGCTGCTAATATAGTAGTGAAATGCAAGACCCTTGTACAGGGGTCCAATCATGACTGACTTAAGAACTATACTGGAACTTGAGCACAACAATGCAATAACAAGCCAATGACTTTTGTCCTACTTAATGCCGTATTATGTATATACTCAGGGGATATCATTCTTGTACCTCCTGTCCACATTTACAAAGACTTATGTGATGGTCTCTGCTTATAACATGCATGGTCCTAATTTAGAAAGGGATGCTAAAAAAACTGGAAGAAAGGAATAGCAGAGTTGCAACCTCATATACTAGTTTACAGAAGCAGATTAACCCTAAACTACAAAAATGTCAGGGTGCAATAGGCAGTACATCTGTTTTTACAGTCTCGTTGTTTTCCTTTCTTAAATATGGAAACTTTTTTGTTTAAAGACAGAATGTTACTAACCTTTCCCAGTGTGCTGCCAGCTCCAAAATGTTTAATATGGGTAAAAAAAACACAACACATTTCCGTGTGTTTGGTGTTGCATCCTGTGATTTGCTGATTTGCTTTTTGAGTCCTCCTGTGATGTTAGACTACTTTTTTGTGTTTACGTTTTACAGCTTATATTTAATAAACATTTATTTCACAATCCAGGCATACTAATTAATCTGTGAAGGGTAAACCACAAAACGTCATACACGTTTACAGTATGGACATACACAATATTGCCAAAAGTATTAGGATACCCCTCCAAATTTTAAATTCAGATATTCCAATAACCTCCCTGGTCACAGGTGTAAAAAATCAATTACCTAGGCATGCATACTGCTTCTACAAACATTTGTGAAAGAATGGGTTGCTATCAGGAGCTCAGTGAA